TGGATTCAAACAGCAAAATCTCAGACATCTCTTGTAGCAATATGTTTATGGATACATCCCCTCGGGCCATGGTCGGCGAACCGCGGCTCGGGAGCCACATGCGGCTCTTTGGCCCTTTGAGTGTGGCTATGAAGTTTCAATCTCACTGTCCTTGCTTGCCCGCACGTGGTATTTTGTGGAAGAGCCACACTCAAGGGGCCGCAGTTTGCCGACCACTGCCCTAGGGCAAAGGAAACTAAGGAGAAAATAAACAAATGGACTACATCAAAATAAAATGCTTCGGCATAGAAAAAAATAAAAAGCCATCAACAAAAAAAAAAAAAGGGAGCCCATTATATGGGAGAACATATTTGGCAATGATACATTTGATAAAGGGTTAATATCCAAAATATATAAGAAACTCATACAACTTAACAAAAGGAAGAACAATCCAATTTAAAAAATGGGTAAAGGACCTAAATAGACACTTCTCCAAAGAGGACATACAGATGGCCAAGAGATGTATGAAAAAATGCTCAAAGTCATTGATCATCAGAGAGACGCAAATTAAAACTACAATGAGATATCACTTCACACCAGTCAGAATGGCTACCGTCAACAAACCAACAAATGACAAGTGCTGGTGAGGATGTGGAGAAAAGGGAACCCTAGTACACTGCTGGTGGGGATGCAGACTGGTGCAGCCACTGTTGAAATAATTTTTGGAGTTTCCTCAAAAAATTAAATATGGAACTGCCATTTGACCCAATGATCTCACTTCTAGGAATATATCATAAGAAACCCAAAACACCAATCAGAAAGAATGTATGCACCCCTATGTTCATAGCAGCACAGTTTACAATGGCTAAGATCTGGAAACAGTCCATGTGCCCATCAGTAGATGAGTGGATAAAAAAGTTATGGTACATTTATACCATGGAATACTTTGCAGCAATAAAAAAGAAGATTCTCTTGCCCTTTGAGACAGCATGGAGGGACCTGGAAAGTATCATGATAAGTGAAATAGGTCAGTTGAAGAAAGACAAGTATCACATGATCACACTCATATGTGAAATCTAAGTAACAAAATAAACTGATGAATGGAGTGGGTCCAGAGACATGGAAGCATGAAACAGAGTGCAGAATCTTGGAAGGAAAGTAGGGGAGGATGGGCAGATGGGAGGTACTCAACCAAAGACCTTGTATGCATATATGCATAGCCCATGGACACAGACAATAGGGTGCCAAAGGCTTGGGAGGGTGCAGGGCAGGATGGAGAGGATCAATGGTTGCGGGAGGGGACATGTGTAAAGAAAAATACAAAACAAAAATTTTAAAAATGTGTGTTGGATTTTGTCTAATGCTTTTTCTATGTTTATTGATATGATCATGTGATTTTTGTCTTTCAATTTGTTTATGTGATGTATCACATTTATTGGTTTGAATATTGCACCAGCCTTGCATCCCCGGAATAAAGCCCACTTGGTCATGATGTATGATCTTTTTAATATATTTCTGGATTCAATTTGCTAGTATTTTGTTGAGGATTTTAGCATTTATGTTCATCAGGATATTGGCCTGTAATTCTCTTTCTTTGTAGTGTCTTTATCTGGTTTTGGAACTGGGATCATGCTGGCCTCATTAAAAGAACTTGGAAGTGTTCCTTCCTCTTGGATTTTTTGGAGAAGGTGCGGGGGGGGGGGGGGGGGGAACGCAAGGCAGTTATATATATATATATTTTTTTTACTCCGTTAACAAATAAGCCAGCCGTCTCAAAGTGCTTCTCATTAATTCTGGGAAGGCCAAAACAAAGTAAAAAGGGAACTTGAGAATTAATCTATACCAAGATAGTCAACAGGGGAATTTTGATACCTATAGACAGGAGGGTATATAACGCCTTGAACCCCCACCCAACTCGCTCCTCAAATTAGCTGAATGATACCTATCTACACTCCAAGCCAGATGAAATGAAATAGATTCACTTGCCTTCCCTCTTTAGTAAATTGCTTGCTTTAATAAGTTGGCATTATCACAGCGCAATCAGAGTCTATTATTTAAATTCATTTATTCAAGAAGACAACAACGGGAAGGGGATAGCCCTCTCTCTCTGACTCAGGCGGCTGTCCAGTGACACCTTTTCTAGGGTCTCTGAGCTGCCTGTAATAAAGCCATCCTATTGGTTACTTTAGGTCATTGAGTTTGTAAGGCCGCCATACAGGCCTCCCTTGAGCTTGTCAAGTTTAGTATGTGGCCACACTATCTTGCACCCAAGTAACTGCTGTTGTTCCAGAACTTCAGGAGGAGGTCATGGAGAAGAGAGTACAAGAAAATGATTAGTCACTCTTAAATGTCCCAATCTGGGCCCCAGTCACTGAGCCACTGCTGAGAACTCCGCAACCTTCCTCTGCGCCCCCCTTGCATTCTGCCTGCTCCTTCACACACACACACACACACACACACACACACACACACCCTCTGCTGCAGCCTTCCACCAGCTGTTTCTACCAAGGAAAAGGAATCATGTCATATGTCCGCTATGCAGAACCTCCACTCTTTCAACCCCTTTGCTGATGCAAGTAGGGCGATACACCCAAGTTACTGCTTTTGTTCCAGAACTTCCAGCTAGCCCTGAAGATTATACTCATTCAAGAATTCAACAGAGAAATTGCAGAAGACCCTTACTATTGTCCAAGGGCTCAATGATGATTACAATAAAAAGAAACTAGTTGAGACATTTAAGAAGAAAATTGCCTTCAATGGTACTGTAATTGAGCATATAGAATATGGAGAAGTAATTCAGCTACAGGGTGACCAGTGTAAGAACATATGCCAGTTCCTCATGGAGACTGGACTGGCTAAGGACACCAGCTGAAGGTTCCTGGGTTTTAAGTGCTTTTGGCTCACTGAAGCTTAAGTGAAGGTTTCCTTGCAATGAGTAGCATTTCCCTTCTGTCCCTTGTCAAAAGTTTAAAAACTCACAGTTTGTATAATGTAACCATTTTGGGTCTGCTTTTAACTTGGACTAGTGTAACTTCTTCATGCAATAAGCTAAAAAGAGCCATAAAGATAGATAGATGATAAATCAGTGATGGCGAACCTTTTGAGCTCTTCGTGTCAGCATTTTGAAAAACCCTAACTTAACTCTGGTGCCATGTCACATATAGAAATGTTTTGATATTTTCAACCATAGTAAAACAAAGATTTATATTTTTGATATTTATTTTATATATTTAAATGCCATTTAACAAAGAAAAATCAACCAAAAAAATGAGTTCATGTGTCACCTCTGACACGCTTGTCATAGGTTCACCATCACTGTGATAGATGATAGATAATAGAAGATAGATAGATGATAGATAGATAGATAGATAGATAGATAGATAGATAGATGATAGATAGATGATAGATAGATAGATAGATAGATAGATAGATAGATAGATAGATAGATAGATAGATAGACAGATAGATATCCCAGTCTGGAAATGACATGGTTCATCCAGTCTCTGCCCATCCATTCATCAGGCGTGGTTCTAACCCACCATTCAGAATAAACACATGAACACAACCTGAATTTACTTCAGTTCCCCTGGATACTGAAGACAAGGATTTCAATGCAAGCAGTATCATCCTCAGACAACACCAGGAGGGAAGTAGGAAAGTGACACGGGGAAGAGAAGGACACCATAAGAAAGAATTGGCATTATTGAGCAGGTGACTGCTAAAGGCATCTGGGGCAATCATGTGGAACATGCCTCGGAGTTTTCTAGGTCAAGAGCAGAGAGTGTTGGGTTCTTGTCCCCTAATTCACATCTGTCATTGAGATGTATCCCATTCAGCACAACAATAATAACACAATATGGTAAGCAGAATAATGTTCCCCTAAAAATGCCCATGTCCTAATCCCCAGAACCTGTGGATGTGTTAGCGACATGGAAAAATGAGAGTGAAGGTTGCAGATAGTGTTATACTATAAATCAGAAGATGCCTTAATCAATAAGCCAAATTTATTTGGAGTCCTATTCAGTTTTGCTAGCCTTAGCAGGCCCAGAGGAACTCTTGCTTCTCAAATTCTGGGGCCCAGTATAGTGGAAGTCTTTTCCATTTATATGTTTTTCAGCTCTTTGTTTTCCAAATTTGGAATGAGACTTCCGGACCTTCTGAGAAAAAGTCCTGTTTGCTGGGACAGAGCTGTGAGACCATATCTCAGGGCCTGGCCTGGCGACAGCACTGACAACTCTGTCTGGGGCATATTTTATGGCCTCTCTGGAGTGGGGAGTAGTCTTATTTTACCTATTATTTAAGTAATCAAATGTTTACAGAGTAGCAGGGTTAAAATTTTAAACAGCAATTTTTACCCAAGGTGGAGGTGACTATACTTCAATAGAATTAGGGTTCCTAATCCACTGACCTTAAAATAGTAAGGTCATATGAAATTATCCAGTGGCCCCAATGTAATAGCAAAGGTCCCTTAAATGTGGACGAGGAGGCAAAGGGTCAGTGTTTGAGCAGTGCAAAGTAGGAAAGATCCATGTCGTTGTGGACTTTGAAGGTGTTGGAAGGGGCCACCAGCCAAGTAGTGCAGGCCGCCTCAAGCAGCTGGGAAAAGCAAGAAAACAAATTGTCCCCCAGAACCTCCAGAAAGAAACACAGCCCTGTCAACACCTTGATTTCAACATTATGAGACTCGTTTGGGTCTGACTTCCAGAACTATAAGATAATGAATTTGAATTGTCTTATGTCAGTAAGTTTGTAGTGATTTGGTACAGTATCAATTGAAAACGAATGCACATACCTGAAATAATGTTTTTTCAAAATGCATACAAAGAAAATCATAAAATTTTGCTGAAGAATATTTTAAAGGTACCTGAATAAATAACTGGTTCGTGAATGAATGAGTAAATAGACAGACAGACATATACACACACATGTATATTCCCTAACCAAAATTACAAACTGATTCAGAATTGTATCTAGGAAATAAAATGCGCAGTAGTAGAAAGAAACATTGAGAGAAGACAATGTCGTGGTGTAAATCAACTATATTATAGAACTGTAGTAACTAAAACATTGGCAAGTAAGTTCAATGCAGGCATAATGCAGTGTGTGACTTTATTAAGAGGATGTCGTGGGGGCTGACTTAGGGCCCTAAGACTATCAATAGAAGAGAGATCGTCTACAGCCTTTGGAGGGAGAAAGGGTTCTCAGAATCTCGAGATCTCAAAGATTTCAGTTCAGGAGGAATAAAAACAAAAGTGGGTGGGACCAGAGAGGACCTAGCAAAGGGTATGGCCAAATTGCCTGATCCTGGAGACTGAACAGGGGCCAGGGGTGAGAGTGGGGGACAGTGGCCCTCAGAGGCCTGGGCACAGAGCTGAGGGCTTCTCGCAGATCCAGAAGTGTTCTTCACTACATTTGTTATCATTCCAGCCATCACCGGACAGTTCCGCACAGTCCTCCTCTCCTTGATTGTTAGGTTCCCCTTCTTTCCAGAAGCTGTGAACACCATCAAAGCTATGAGTTCCCTCCCCAACCCAAAGCCAACTCCCCAACCCACCCTTGGACCAGCTGGTCCATGGCCTTTGGTAACAAATTTCTAAGGATCAGCTAGAGAGGATGGTGAATTCAGAGACAGGGTTTTCAAAATGTGGGTTCAAATACCACCTCCCTCAATCAGTGCTAGCAAAATAAAAACACAGATTCCTGGGCCCATACATAGACTTAGAGAATCAAATCCCCCACCCCACCATGGTGGACTCAGGACTCTGCATCTCAACCCACTTTTTTGGGTGATACTTTCCAACCCCAGAGTCTGAGCAACCCTGGCTTTAGGTGTAGGTCTCTTCCCTACCCTCCCACTCCAAGGCCATTGTCGCTGGCAAGTCACCTGAGATGCAAGTGGGTGTTGTCCACCCATTGCCAGGACCCTTCATTGTGTTTGTCACTGAGGCCGATCCAGGTGCTTTTATCATTTCTGATATCCCAAGATTTCAGGAATTTCTGGGGGTGAGGGAGGGATGGGGTATCAAGAGGAAGATTAGTGAAGGCCACCCATCCCATGTCTGCCCACATTCTCATGGTCCCCTGCCTCCCACAGAAGTCTTTCTGTGTCCTAGACTTTATCCCCTACTTAAGTTGTATGCATTCACATGTGCATTAATGCTGTGGATGTGTGGGAATGTATTAATTTATGTCTCAATTCACTTATGTGTCAAGGGAGAAATTACTCTGAGTTTCCTTTATTTACATACATAGACAGCACTTTTACATGACCTTCCCAAGTCCATCATGGTTTCTCCTCCAGGAAGCCTTCCCTGACTGCATCACCCCCAAACCTCCATCTCTCAAAGGGCAGAAGAGAGTGGCAGAAGGCTTTTTGTTGACCTGGCCCAGCCCCAGACAGGACCCTTGCCTGGCATACCTGCTCCTCAGCATTGTTAATGACCACTAGCTGGGCCCTCATGTCCTCACAGGCAGAGACAGAAGCATCCCAGGTGCTCTGAATCTTGGAGAAGATATAACAGCTTCCCTGGAAGAAGTCCCAATTCCAGGGGCAGCGACGGCACAGGCCAGCTGGGGAGCAGGGACGAGGTTGGGACAGTTGGGGAGACAGGTTGCTAGGCTCCCAGGCCCCCAACACGGCATCAGATATGGGAAATCCAGGGCCAGGCCCCTTTGTCCAGCTATCAGCTCAGTCTCCAAGAAACCCATGAGAAAGATCCCATTCTTCCTTGACATTTTCAGAATGGCAGCCATGGGAGGTGAGCCTCAGCCCCACCTATAACCCCCCAACTCCCTCCTGACCTTGATGTCTGAACCTTACTCAGGGTGGCATTCATCTTGCTCAGCTGATGGAGGATCTCCTCCAGGTCTGATTGCAAAACAACCACTGAAAGAAGAAGACTTCTGTTATTAAGCACCTACTGTGTGCTTGGTGCAGAGAGGGCCCCATGATTTCTGCATCTCATGGTAACCGCAACAGCCCATTATACAAACAAGAAAAGTGAGACTTAGGCAGTGACTTGCCCAACATCCTGGCCCCCCGGACCGCACACAGGGATCCAATCTCCTCCCCCACTCCTGCCTGCCCTCTACCTCACAGCGGTGGCTCGTCCAAGGTCACGCAGCTCAGAGCCCTTCCCATTCCAGAACCCAGCCTCCAACCCCTCACCCGGGCTGTGGCTCTCCTGATCATCCACCTCTCTTGGCAGGGATTGTTGGATCCTGGAGACTACAAAAGAGCAGAGAATTCCCCTTAACTGAGTGCCTACAGTATGTCTGATCCTGTGACACCTTTGGTTTCAAGATCTGAGAACCTAACCCTCGCTCCATAAACCCACCTGGAGGAAAATGGGCTGCATTTCACAGATAAGGAAAAGGGCTCAGAGAGAGGTAGTAACCAGCCCACAGTCACACAGGAGATGACAAAGAGTCCAAATATCCCAGCCCTAGTGGTTTTGAGGACTGTGGAAAAGGGAAAAGACCAACCCAGAGGGAAAACCCCAAGAGGCTCAGGACTCCCAGCCCCTAGCCCCAAACTCACCTTGAATCAGGGTGATCAGCATGAGCATGAAGAGACCCAAAGAGATGAGAAGCAGTATCAGAAGCAGAGGGGCCCGGGTTAGACACTCTGTTACAGAATGGGCAGAGCTGGGATCTAGGGACAGAACATGCCTCAACCCACCCATGCTGGAGGTGGCCTCCCAGCTGCCCCCTTCCCCAAGTGCTTGCTCCTGAACCACCCATCCCAGTACCTGGCAAACTTCTTGAGATCCTCGACAGCCCAAGGTCTTTCTCAGGTGATCTCTGGCCTTGAAATATCTCCCTCTCCTCTGAACAGGACAGAATGTATTCATCTGAGCTTCAAAGCCCTAATGGAGACCGTACCCTCTTCCCTCCTTGCAGGCTGGAGGCCAGACCTGGACTCCCCCAGGACCCTGGAGCCTTGGCCTCCCCACCATTACCCCATAATGGGGGCTCAGCCTCATCAGGGCCACCTGGTTCCTTGGGGACACACATCTCTGCCATCCTCTTCTCCCCTCTGTTCTTCTGTCCACCTCCTCCCTGGACTATGGTTTTTATAACCTCATGAATTTCCTCAGCAGCCCCTCCAGGGGCTATTCCTCCCAAAGTCAGGAAGAAGAATGAGGAACTATGTGGGGACACCACTTCCTCTTGGAAAAGTTGGGGGTAGAGATGAAATGCCTGACACAGCTATGATAGAAGTCATTTAGGGTGGGGCAGAAGCTTGAGGTCAATGCAAGTGTCAAAAGACACTGCTCCAACCCCCACCTAATCCTGGGAACTTCGGCCCTACCTTATCAAAGCCTCAGTTTCCTCATCTGTAAAATGGGACAATTACTCTGCTTCATACTGTTAATGTGAAGTCTAATACAGTGCACTAGTAATGGTTATAAATTTCCTATCTCAATGATAAATACTCAGTAGTAATGGCACTTAGCACATACACATCCCAGAACCCTGTGCTGTGCATTCTACCTTGCTGCAACAAATAAGAAACCACAGGTGTGCTCCTGGTGGTCTTTGGCTGAGGAGCACTGACAGAAAAAGGTCGTTATTGTCCTGCTTTAGAGATGAGGACAGAAATAGAGAGGGCAGAAACTGCCTGAGGTCGCACAGCCTGTAAATGATGGGCTGGGAGTTAGAACCAGGCAGGTGGACCTCTGAGTCCCTGCTTAACCACTGCACGAAGCAGGTACCCTTTCCATTTTGTAATTACTATCTTGTAGAGTTTCTTTGAAACTATGTGTATCAAGTTTTGAATTTATTTATGTATGAACTCCTGATTTCCTATCAGATTCTGTCAGTTTTATGTTACTATCTTTAATTTTTTAAATATACTTTTATTATTGATTTCAGAGAGGAAGGGAGAGGGAGATAGAAATATCAAGGATGAGGGGAGAACCAAGATGGCGGCATAGGTTAACGCCGGAGTTTGCTGCTTTGAACAACTACTTCAAAAGTGAAACTAAAAGACGGAAGGGACATCACCCAGAACCACAGGAACGCTGGCTGAGTGGAAGTCCTACAACTAGGAGGAAAGAGAAACGCATACGGACACTCAAAGGAGGCGCAGTGCTGAAGTCAAATTCTGAGGTGCGGAGTGCGCGGAGAGGGCTGGCGGCGGAGGGCGCGGTTGGCGTTTTCAATCGGGAGGGAGTCGCAGACTCTGAGCTCCAGATACAGGCGAGTCTTTAGGGACCCAGACTCAAACGGGAGAAGCGGGACTATCTGGCTTCGGTCAGAGCGAGTGCAGCTTTCTCTCCGAGGTTTGCAGTGGGTGCTGGGACTCAGAGAGGCAGAGCCCCTGGGGACAGGACTGAGAGCCACCATAACTGCTCTCTCCGGCCCACCCTGTTGATCCTGTGCGCACCCACCCTGCCCAAGCCCTTCACAGAGGCATTTGCCGGATAGCCTCAGGCAAAGGCTAGATTAGCACCTCCCTAGAGGACAGAAGTTCTCTCACTGCTGACACAGCTGATTCTCATAGCCACTTGGCCTGGAGGTCAAACCCTCCCTGGTATTAGCTACAACAATCAAGGTTTAACTATAAGACTGCGCACAAAGACCACTAAGGGGTGCACCAAGGAAGCATAACAAAATGTGGAGACAAAGAAACAGGACAAAATTGTCAATGGAAGATATAAAGTTCAGAACCACACTTTTAAGGTCTCTCAAGAACTGTTTAGAAGCCGCCGATAAACTTAATGAGATCTACAAGAAAACTAATGAGACCCTCGATGTTATATTGGGGAACCAACTAGAAATTAAGCATACACGGACTGAAATAACGAATATTATACAGACTCCCGACAGCAGACCAGAGGAGCGCAAGAATCAAGTCAATGATTTGAAATGCGAGGAAGCAAAAAACACCCAACCAGAGGGGTGGAATGAAAAAAGAATCCAAAAATGCGAGGATAGTGTAAGGATCCTCTGGGAGAGCTTCAAGCGTACCAACATCAGAATTATAGGGGTGCCAGAAGATGAGAGAGACCAAGATATTGAAAACCTATTTGAAGAAATAATGACAGAAAACTTCCCCCACCTGGTGAAAGAAATGGACTTACAGGTCCAGGAAGTGCAAAGAACCCCAAACAAAAGGAATCCAAAGAGGACCACACCAAGACACATCATAATTAAAATGCCAAGAGCAAAAGATAAAGAGAGAATCTTAAAAACAGCAAGAGAAAGAAACTCAGTTACCTACAAGGGAATACCCATACGACTGTCAGCTGATTTCTCAACAGAAACTTTGCAGGCCAGAAGGGAGTGGCAAGAAATATTCAAAGTGATGAATACCAAGAACCTACAACAAAGATTACTTTATCCAGCAAAGCTATCATTCAGAATTGAAGGTCAGATAAAGAGCTTCACAGATAAGGAAAAGCTAAAGGAGTTCATCACCACCAAACCAGGATTATATGAAATGCTGAAAGGTATCCTTTAAGAAGAGGAAGAGGAAGAAAAAGGTAAAGATACGAATTATGAACAACAAATATGCATCTATCAACAAGTGAATCTAAGAATCAAGTGAATAAATAATCTGATGAACAGAATGAACTGGTGATTATAATAGAATCAGGGACATAGAAAGGGAATGGACTCACTATTCTTGGGGGGGAAAGGGGTGTGGGAGATTCGGGAAGAGACTGGACAAAAGTCATGCACCTATGGATGAGGACAGTGGGTGGGGAGTGAGGGCGGAGGGTGGGGCGGGAACTGGGAGGAGGGGAGTTATGGGGGGGAAAAAAGAGGAACAAATGTAATAATCTGAACAATAAAGATTTAATTAAAAAAAAAGAAAGAAAGAAAGAAATATCAAGGATGAGAGAGTATCATTGATAAGCTACCTCCTGCATGCCCCACACTGGGGATCAAGCCCACAATCCAGGCATGTGCCTTGAGGAATCATGACCTCCAGGTTCATAGGTTGATGCTCAACCATTGAGTCACATCAGATGGACACTATCTTTAATTTTAATCTAAAGTGAATTTCTTTGTCCAATAGTGGGGCAAAGGTGTAATGGCTACTATAAGGAGAAGTTCTCTTCAGACCAAAGAACAAAGCAGGCAACTCCATAGAAATAACAATTTATTATAGGATTATTTACTTACAGGAAGATTAGGCTGGAGCAGAGCAGACAATCCAGCAGTCTGTGCAAATTATTCTTTATGTCCTAACCGGTTTGGCTCAGTGGATAGAGTGTCGGCCTGCGGACTGAAAGGTCCCAGGTTCGATTCCGGTCAAGGGCATGTACCTTAGTTGCGAGCACATCCCCAGTAGGAGGTGTGCAGGAGGCAGCTGATTGGTGTTTCTCTCTCATTGATGTTTCTAACTCTCTATCCCTCTCCCGTCCTCTCTGTAAAAAAATCAATAAAATATATATATATTTTTAAATTAATCTTTACTACCAGACCCCTGTCACAGTACATTTTTATAGTATAACTCAGGTACTCATGATTGACAAGACAAAGGGACAAAGAATGCAGTAGTGCCATACCTCCTGATGGTCTTGTGACAGATGATTTCTTTTTTTTTTTTTTCTTTTTTTTCAACTTGTAAAACTTTTATTTTTTATTTTTTTTTAATTAAATTTTTATTGTTCAGATTATTACATTTGTTGCTCTTTTTTTCCCCCCATAACTCCCCTCCTCCCAGTTCCCGCCCCACCCTCCGCCCTCACTCCCCACCCACTGTCCTCATCCATAGGTGCACGATTTTTGTCCAGTCTCTTCCCGCATCTCCCACACCCCTTTCCCCCCCAGGAATAGTCAGTCCATTCCCTTTCTATGTCCCTGATTCTATTATAATCACCAGTTCATTCTGTTCATCAGATTATTTATTCACTTGATTCTTAGATTCACTTGTTGATAGACGCATATTTGTTGTTCATAATTTGTATCTTTACCTTTTTCTTCCTCTTCCTCTTCTTAAAGGATACCTTTCAGCATTTCATATAATCCTGGTTTGGTGGTGATGAACTCCTTTAGCTTTTCCTTATCTGTGAAGCTCTTTATCTGACCTTCAATTCTGAATGATAGCTTTGCTGGATAAAGTAATCTTTGTTGTAGGTTCTTGGTATTCATCACTTTGAATATTTCTTGCCACTCCCTTCTGGCCTGCAAAGTTTCTGTTGAGAAATCAGCTGACAGTCGTATGGGTATTCCCTTGTAGGTAACTGAGTTTCTTTCTCTTGCTGTTTTTAAGATTCTCTCTTTATCTTTTGCTCTTGGCATTTTAATGATGATGTGTCTTGGTGTGGTCCTCTTTGGATTCCTTTTGTTTGGGGTTCTCCGCGCTTCTTGGACCTGTAAGTCCATTTCTTTCACCAGGTGGGGGAAGTTTTCTGTCATTATTTCTTCAAATAGGTTTTCAATATCTTGCTCTCTCTCATCTTCTGGCACCCCTATAATTCTGATGTTGGTACGCTTGAAGCTCTCCCAGAGGCTCCTTACACTATCCTCGCATTTTTGGATTCTTTTTTCATTTTGCTTTTCCGGTTGGGTGTTTTTTGCTTCCTCGCATTTCAAATCATTGACTTGATTCTTGCGCTCCTCTGGTCTGCTGTCGGGAGTCTGTATAATATTCGTTATTTCAGTCCGTGTATGCTTAATTTCTAGTTGGTTCCCCAATATAAGATCGAGGGTCTCATTAGATTTCTTGAGGATCTCACTACATTTATCGGCGGCTTCTAGACAGTTCTTAAGAGACCTTAAAAGTGTGGTTCTGAACTCTATATCTTCCATTGACAATTTTGTCCTGTTTCTTTGTCTCCGCATTTTGTTATGCTTCCTTGGTGCACCTCCTAGTGGTCTTTGTTTGCAGTCTTATAGTTAAATCTTGATTGTTGTAGCTAATTCCAGGGAGGGTTTGACCTCTAGGCCAAGTGGCTATGAGAATCAGCTGTGTCAGTAGTGAGAGAACTTCTGTCCTCTAGGGAGGTGCTAGTCTAGCCTTTGCCTGAGGCTATCCGGCAAATGCCTGTGTGCAGGGCTTGGGCGGGGCGGGTAGAACAGGATCAACAGGGTGGGCCGGAGAGAGCAGTTATGGCAGCTCTCAGTCCTGTCCCCAGGGGCTCTGCCTC